AGGGTTTTTACCTCAATTTTCGGAAATTTATCCGCGCGCAACATATAGAAAAATCTGTGTAAAATTCGCGTGTTCTGCGTATTCCGTGTTCTATTTTCTTTAATTGGGAAATTTGTTATACACCCTTTTTTACATCTTTGTTTTTATTAACCAAATTTTAATAAAAAGTATTAAAAATATTATTTATTTTTAATATAAAAAGGTTAGGAAAAAAACATTATGTTTTTATTTTTATTTCCAAAAAATCCATACGCTTGTTCCACAATTATCAATTTTTTAAAAAGTTCATTGACAAATGCTTTTTTTACCGCTTGCTTTACTTCGGCTCAGAGATGAGCAGTTTATCGGTGTGCTAACTAACCACCCCTAAAAATCTGTGTGCTTCTAAGTTTTTACAAAATTTTTAAAATTGATTTAATGAACTTTTTAGCGCATTTTTATCTTGCTTATCCTGATGAACACCTGATAATGGGCAATTTTATTGCTGATTTTATTGGCAACCGCGAATTGCCCTATTATACGGAAGCCGTACAACGAGGCGTTCGGTTGCATCGCGCAATAGATTCGTTTACGGATACACACCCAGTAGTCCGCCAAAGTACACGTCGATTACACGCCCATTTTCATAAATATGCACCAGTAATAACTGATATTTATTACGATTATATTTTGGTGCAAACTTGGCAACAGTATTCAACACAAGTTTTTCATAATTTTATCGCCGAAATTTATGCTATTTTACAAAAAAATAAACTTATCCTGTTCGAAAATTTACAAGTAAAAATGGAAAGAATGATTGCGCACAATTGGCTTGTGCAAGCAGCTACATTAGATGGGCTTCATGTTGTTTTTGATCGTATAACGAAACGACCGACTGATTTTCCAATGGATTTTTCGACAGCAACTGATGTTTTAGAAACTCATTTAACTGATTTTTCAGCCGATTTTGATGCTTTTTTTCCTGATTTAATCGCTTTTGTGGAAACATTTGAGCATTCAAAAGCGTTTTAAGGCTATAAATTTGACCCAATCTAATGAAAATTAAAGATATTATTGTTTATCTAGAAAATATTGCGCCCGTAGCTTATCAAGAAACTTATGACAATGCAGGGCTTATTGTAGGTAACGCTTATACCGATTTGACTGGCGTTTTAGTCTGTTTGGATTCTATCGAAAATGTTGTTGACGAAGCTATTGCAAAAAATTGTAATCTCATCATTGCACACCACCCCATCATTTTTAAAGGCTTAAAACGGCTCAATGGCAAGAATTATGTCGAAAGAACAGTTATCAAAGCTATAAAACACGATATTGCCATTTATGCCATACATACCAACTTAGATAATGTATATGAAAATGGGGTAAATACCAAAATTGCCGAAAAATTGGGGCTGAAAAATACCCATATTTTGTCGCCTCGACAAGGGCTGCGCAAATTGTCAGTACTGGTTGGTGCAACCCAAGCAGAGCAAGTAAAAAAAGCAATGTTTGAGGCAGGCGCAGGTCAAATAAATGAATTTACCAATTTAAGCTATACAACAATTGGCGTGGCAACGCAAAATGGTTATCGGGGTGCAGGGGCGCAACTTGAGGTCGTTTTTCCTGCGGTAAAACAAGCGGCAATTTTAAACGTTTTAAAACAAATTTTGCCCAATCAAGCTATTGCCCACAATATTGTTGCCATCGAAAACAATCATCATACCGTTGGAGCAGGGCTAATCGGGTCGTTAGAGCAAGCAGTAGAAGAACAGGATTTTTTGTATTTTTTAAAAAATACCATGAAAACAGGCTGTGTACGTCACACGCATTTTTTAGAAAAAAAGATTCAAAAAGTGGCAATTTGTGGCGGTTCGGGAGGTTTTTTGCTGTCTCAAGCAATTGCGCAAGGGGCAGATATATTTATCACAGCAGATTACAAATATCACGAATTTTTTGATGCTGACGGGCAGATTCTTATTGCAGACATTGGACATTATGAAAGCGAACAATTTACCATCGAATTAATTGCTGAAATTATCTCTAAAAAATTTAGTAATTTTGCCGTCCATTTAACAGAAACGAATACAAACCCCGTTTTTTATCTTTGAAAATCTTTGCATTTATATTAAATATTTAAAAAAATAACTATATCAAAAAAATGGCTATTAGCACAGAATTAAGCGTTTCAGAAAAACTCAAACAACTTTATGAGCTACAATTAATCGATTCTCAAATTGATGAAATTCAGGTTTTGAAGGGCGAACTCCCTATTGAAGTAAGTGATTTGGAAGACGAAATTGCAGGCTTGGAAACACGCCTTACAAAACTTAAAAATCAAATAAAAGATATTGATAATGATACCGCCAGGCATCAAGCGAACATCAAAGATGCCGAAAATAACATCGCTCGTTATCAAAAACAGCTTGATGAAGTTAAAAATAATCGTGAATTTGAGGCATTGACCAAAGAGTTGGAAAATCAAAAATTAGAAATTCAGCTTTCTGAAAAGAAAATCAAAGAAGGACGAATCAATGTGGCTGCCAAGCAAGAAACATTTGCAGCTTCTGAAAAAAAACTTGGGCTAAAATATAAAGATTTAGAAACCAAAAAAATAGAACTTGCCCAAATTATTGAAAAAACAGAAAAAGACGAAAATATTCTAAAAGAACGTTCCGAAAAAGCAAAAGTAAGAATTGAACCTCGTTTGCTTAAGGCTTACAACAAAACGCGCAATTCGTATCGCAACGGCCTATCTGTCGTAAAAGTAGATAGAGATGCCTGTGGTGGTTGTTTTAATAAAATCCCGCCACAGTTGCAGTTAGAAATTGGGCTTCGCAAAAAAATTATCGCTTGTGAGCATTGCGGAAGGATTTTAGTTGATAATGATATTTTAAACTCAATAGATTGATTTCTGGTTTTGGCAAATAATTATGTTTGCTCATAACTAAATAAAAATATATTGTTATGATTTTTTCTGTTTCAAAACCCAATAAATATCTTGCCGGGATTGTTCGCTTAGATGGCTCAAAAAGTATTAGCAATCGAGCATTGATTATTCGTGCCTTGAGCGGTCAGCATTTTCCGATAGCGAATCTTTCTACTTCAAACGATACGCAAACTTTATTGGATTTATTGACAGAAAAACGCGATGTGTATGATGCAGGACCTGCGGGTACTACATTTCGCTTTTTGACTGCGTATCTGGCAATGCAGCCCGATACGCAGGTGCTGACGGGCTCGGAGCGAATGAAACGACGCCCGATTGGAAATTTAGTGCAAGCACTCAACTCGCTTGGTGCCAATATCGAATTTTTAGAAAAAGAAGGTTATCCTCCTTTAAAAATCAATGCACCACAAAAAATTGGCGCAACTAACCAGCTTTCTATTGCTGCAAATGTGAGTAGCCAGTTTATCTCTGCCTTGTTAATGATTGCGCCATATTTACCTGATGGACTAGAACTTCACTTGGAAGGTAATATTGTATCGCGTTCTTATATTGAGATGACCCTGGTGCAAATGCAATATTTTGGTGTATCGCACACTTGGGAGGGCAATCTGATTAAAATAGCACCGCAAACCTATTTGCCACGTCCATTTTCAATAGAAGCCGATTGGTCGGCAGCTTCGTATTATTATGCGATGGCGGCATTTTCAGATAAATTAGATTTACAATTGATTGGTTTACAGGACAATAGCACACAAGGCGATTCAGCTATCGCCGAAATGGGCAAAGCATTTGGTATCAAAACGACCTTCCTCGACGATGGTATTCATCTAACTAAACATACCCACTTGCCACAAACGGCTTTTGAATGGGATTTTATTAAATGCCCAGATATTGCCCAAACGCTGGCAGCGATGTGTGCAGGCATGGGTGTCGTAGGAGCATTCACTGGTCTGGAAACTTTGCGAATTAAAGAAACGGATAGAATTGCTGCGCTAAAAGCCGAGTTGCGCAAGGTAAATGTCAATTTGGTTGAATTACCACTTCGTTTTTACAAAAAACAGCCTGATAAGCAATATTTTATTATCGAAGGAATGGCTTGCTGGGAAGGTGATGTTGTTTTTGGCACTTATGACGACCATCGTATGGCAATGGCATTTGCTCCTCTGGCAATGCTCGGCAATGTCGTCATTGAAGACCCAAAAGTTGTTGAAAAATCCTACCCACAATTTTGGGAAGACTTGAAAACATTAGGATTTGTAATAAATAATCTAAGTTTTGTGGTATAAAATAAAATTATAGTCAGAAATATTTTATTCTCTTCATTTAGTGGTTCTGAAAAACCGTATTTAGCCGCAATTTCATAAAATTTCTCTTTAGGGACATAATGAAGCGAGCGAGCTACGTGGTACTGTTCGTCGTGATGAGGTTGGTTTTTACAGCCAAAAAAGGCAAATAGGAAGATAGATAACGTTGAATATAAGATTATTTTTTTCATGTTTAAAACATTGACTTACTAACGTAACATTGGAGAAACATTGAAAGTTTCCCCAATGTTAGTATCCTCAAAAACACGGATCTTAATCTTTCAGATTATCTATACGAAAGCCGTCTTTAGGAGGATAGTATTTCCCGTCATCATATTTATGAACAAAATTTAAAATACTATCCTTCCCAACTAAATAAACCCGAACAGTCATACGGGATTGGCTATCCACATATTTTCGATATTGCATTTCACCGCCATGCGCTTCAACTTCTGCAGCACGCATTCTTGGCAAACTATTAATTAAATCATAATAATCTTTTTTCGATTTAACATTAATCTTACCTTTGTTGAAGGCTGCTATTTCAGCCTTATTTATCTTATCAATGGTAATATATTCTCGATATGACTTAAACTGTATTTCGATAAGTTCTTCATTTGCACGCTGTAGGATATAAGGTTTCAGACGAACAGAGTCAAAAGGATTGTTCTTTGTAACGGTATTAAGAAATATTTTATTCTCTTCATTTAGTGGTTCTGAAAAACCGTATTTAGCTGCAATTTCATAAAATTTCTCTTTAGGGACATAATGAAACGAGCGAGCTACATGGTCTTGCTCATCATGATGAGGCTGGTTTTTGCAGCCCTGCCAGCACACCAGTAACAAAATGGATAAAGTTGAATATAAAATTATTTTTTTCATATAGATAAAATTTTCTAATACCATCGTTTTTAGTGGGGTTAATTTCTTAAATCATTCGCCACGAGCAAGTTGTAGCTTAAAACATTCTTTTGGTTCTTTTTTTGCGTTCATAATGAGGTATTGGCATCATTTTAAACATAATTTCAAAAAAAATATTGTTATACTGCATTTTTGGAAAATTTGCAACATTTATGTTAGTGTGAGCATGGACAATTTCTTTGCTTGCAAATAGTGGCTGTGAATAGCCAATTCTCAACCCCATGTTAAATTCATTAAAATATCGTTTTAGTAAATTCATTTTATATTCAAGGTCTAATCCAGCATTAAGGTCAAAGATAAAACCTTTCGGTGTTAGGTTAAGAGAGTGAGAAGCTGATGACTGAGCTAGAAGGGTGCTAAATGATGCATTACGAATGGTTCTATCTATTACGTCAAAATTAATATTCATATAACCAATACCGCCATAAAAAGTAGCCATCAGTCTTTTTTTATTCATAATCCCAAATCGCCAAAGTGATTTAAGTGCCACACCATCTATTAAAAATACTAATTTTTGATTCGAAGCCAAGTCATTATTAGCACGAAACCGAGCAAAATAAAATTCGGATTCTACGTTGCCCTCTTTTATAATAATACTTGCACCTTGTATAACAAATGCATTATAAGGATTAGGCGTGTTTACGTTTTGTGCCTGAGAGAGGGCATTGCCTAAGTTGTTAAAACTTTTATTCGCAAAAAACATAGGCCCTGCATGCAACAAATAGCCTATCCGAGTTTTTGGTAAAGAATCATTTTGTGCAGAAAGCAATGTGAAAAAAAACAAATAAAAAAGGATAGTACTAGTAAGTTTCATTTAAAAGATTGTTTTAATTTTTTTAGTTAAAAAATATTTTTTCGTTTTAGGCATACGAGGGGATATTTACGAGGTGGCTTGCACCGCCTTCGTTTTTGAAAGACGGAAAATGGATGATGAGGTATTGTTTTCATAGATGAAAAATTTATATGTATAAAATAAAAATGTAATATTGTTACAAAATAACATAATAATTTTTATACATTTAATCCGAAAAAGTTATACTTTATCCAAAAAATAGATACTTTATCCAAAAATGAATTATGATGAATGGTAGTAAACTAAAACATTTGCGTGAGCAAGAAAACTATGCCCAAGAGCATGTTGCTTCCAAAATAGATATGTCACAAAATACTTATTCTCGATTGGAAAGAGTCTTGACAAAAATCTCTCTTGATAAGGCAGCGAAATTAGCCGAACTTTACAAAGTTCCTGTTTGGGAAATCATAGATGTCCCTGCTCCGAATACTTATGTTACGAATAACCAAGAAGTTTCGTCCAAAGTAATTGGTTATATCAATAATTTTCATGAAGCACATAAGGAAACGTTTGAGTTTGTGATGCAGATGATGAAAGATGAACTCGCAGAATTGAGAAAAGAGCGAGAACAAACCAAAGAAGAAAAAATAACCCTGCAACAAGAAATTGTACGCTTACAAAAGGAGATTGAGCAGTTTAAAAAATTCATATAATCAATGCAACGTCTAAATAAAGTTTATTTGCATCTTGGCAGCAATATCGGAGACCGAAAACAAATGCTGTCGCAAGCACAAGCCTTAATTGAAAAAAATATCGGAAAAATTAAGAAAACATCAAGCCTCTACGAAACCGAAGCATGGGGCAACACCGAGCAAGATGATTTTATTAATCAAGCATTGTTGGTAGAAACAAACTTAAATCCACGCGAGGTGTTATCAAAAATATTGACGATAGAGAGCCAATTGGGGCGCATTCGGAAGCCTGAGGCAAAGTGGCATCCTCGCACGATAGATATTGATATTATTTTTTATAATAATTTGATTATCAAAGAAAAAGATTTAATTTTGCCGCATCCGCGTATGCACG